TAGATCTTCACCTAAGTCATGCCCACTAACCTTAGGTATTCCCCAAAGCCCTGCCCTTCATTTTCTTCTCCTCTTTCCTTACATTACAGCCTCTCTCAAAAGCCTTAGTGCAGTTTTAGTGCTCTAAGACTTTGAGATACTCTGGATTCCACTTGGCGATTTCATCAGCTTCCTTGGATTACATTGTCATCTCTATGCAAATAAACCTCAGCTCTGTTTGTTCAGCCCCAGCTTCTCTCTGGATCTGTCTGGTGTCTCCAGCTATCTAGTCAACATCTTGAATTGGATGTCTCATACATAGGCAGCACAAATTTGATATGTACAAAGCTGAACTTGTTGTCTTCCTCCCCAAATCCCTCTTCTTAACTTCACTATCATTCAGGCTCACCACCTAGGTATCAAACTCAGGTCCTCACTCTCCCATTCCACATTTCTGATCAGTTGCCACATCCTTTTGATTCCACCTTTGCAACATCTCTGCTATACATCCCTTCTGTCCTCTTGACACTGACTTGGTCCCTTCACCTTATGCCTAGATTATTGTAATAGCCTTCCGGTTGGTCTCTCTCCCTCAAATCTCCTTTCTTTTTAGTCCATCCTTTGCTCAGCTGTCAACTGATCTTCCTAAAACATAGGTCTCACTATGTTACCAAGTATTCAGTAAACTCCAGTGGCTTTCTGTTACCTCCAGAATCAAATATAAAATCCTCCATTTGGCTTTTAAATCCTTTCATAAGTTGGCCCTCTCCTAATGAAAAGTTATAAAAGGCCAAAAAGGCCTTGTTAGACCTTTTTTCTGTCCTTACACTCTTAGGATCTAGTGATATTGGCTACCTTGCTGTTGCTCACACAGGATGCTCCATCTCCTGACTGCATTTTTACTGGGCTGTCCCTCATGCCTAGTATTCACTCCCTCCTCATTTCTGCCTCTTGGCTTCCCTAGCTCCCTTCAAATCTCAGCTAAAGTCCCACCTTCTGAAAGAAGTCTTTCCCAGTCTTCCTTAATCCTAGTGCCATCCCTCTAATACTTACCCTAGTTTATCCTGTATACATCTTGTTTGTACATAGTCGTCTCTCCCATTAGACTGTGAGTTCCTTGAAGACAAGCAGGTACTATTTTTGTCTTTCTTGTATTCCCAGTTATTTGCACAGTACCTGGTGAATAGTAGGTACTTAATAAATGCTTGTTGACATGTTACTTAAGTTTTTTCTCCTACCTATTTATTCTAGGCTATTCTCTAGTGTTTTGTAAAATTTAGCTTATAATTAAGAAATAAAATTTAGGGAGCCCTGAAGTTAGCTGGGGGGTTAGATGGCACGGTGAATAGAGCAAGGGGCCCAGAATCTGGAGACTTGAGTTCAAAACCAGCCTCAGACATTTACTAGGAAATGGCAAATCACTCCAGTACCTATGTCAAGAAAACCCCAAAAGGGATCACAAAAAGTTGGACATGACTGAAAAATGATTAAACAACAAGAAGTTAAAGATGTAGCTACATGTGCTATGAGTGTCTTCCATATTTGCTCTTACATTAGCAATGCATTTCTGGGACCAAAATTTTTTTAGTTGCCTATAACCCATTTTCAATTTTTGGAATACCAGAAACTGTCTAAGACTACAAATTGAAGAGCAGTTGGCAGTTTGCTTTGTAGGAGTTTCCTCACTGGAAATATCTGTGAAATCATGTTTCCATTAAACAAAAAACCCAAATGATACATTTTGGGGAATTTGCTCTGTTGGAAAGACAATTTTAAAAATATGATATGGTAATGTTTCATGTCCACATAAATGTGTTTTTCCACATAACTAAACCTTAAGCATCAAATTTTTTTCAAAAATTGTTTTGGTGGAAATCTTTCAAAAATACGTACTTCTCTGCCTTTTAAGCAGAAGGCAAAGAACATAGCTCAACATGTATTGATTGCTCAGAATTGTCGTTAAGCACATCTATTATAACAGATAACATGTATAGAGTTTTGAGTAACTTTTTGTCTGCCATCTTAAGTCATATGACATTGAAAAGTCTTGACCTTTCTGGACCTCAGTTTCCTCATTTGTAAAATAAAGAGGTTGGACTAGATTTCCAGCTGTAAATTCTTTCTCCCTCAACTTCCTTTTATGTTAGATCATGTATTTCCACTTTGGTGGAGGTCGTATAGGTTGTTTCTGCATGGCTCTGACTCTCACTCCACTTCCAGTTATTGCTTCTGGCAAACCAGCTCCTCAAGCTCACCTAAGCATTGTGTGGGAGATCATAAGGAATAGGAACTATATGTGTTCAGTGGCCTTTTTCCTCTGATTTGAGTGGGCAAACCATGGCCTGAGGACCAGATACGACCCACTGCCTGTTTCTGTATATGTGGCCTGTTAGCTAGGAATGCCTTTTACATTTTTAAATATGCAGCTTTATTTAAAAATGTAAAAATCATAGCTTGCAGGCCATATAAAAGCAGATACAAGATGGGATTTGGCCTTAGGCTGTAGTTTGAAGATCCTTGCTCTAACAGAATGAATGAATGGAGCATTGATTAAGCACTTACTATGTGCAAAGCCTTTTTTAAATATTGGGGATACAAATAGAAAACTAAAACATCCCTACTGTCAAGGATAACATGTATGGAATATTTTGCCTGCAAGTCAGATGGAAAGAACAGTTGTCCTTATGGTGCAGAGGCAGAATAGATGGTTATGCCTCTTTTTTTAATGTCATTTACTGCTGATCAAAATCATGTCATTTGTTTCTGTTGAACCATTTGACAATACCAAAAGACTTTCAGGCAAGAACTTTTTTTCTGATCTTCAGTAGCTGTGGCTGTAGCACCTGTAGGAACAGTTGCCAGGCTGCATCTCCCAGGGGTTGCTTCCCAGGAAAAATAGTTTAAACTTTTTGTTCTTTTCTTTATCATTAAAATTATGACAAAGAGTTTAGCCTCTCTAACGCAGGGCCATCTCAGCTTCTGTTGGTAAAACATCAGGACATCTGATTCAAATGGGCTCCTGCATGAAGTAGAAAACTCACAATTTGGCAGGAGTCTGAAGACCATTTATAAATATGGTACATATGATGCACAGGGCATGTACTTCATTAATAAATCTGTTATGGTGTTGTATATGCTATAGCATATAAATGAATCTAGTGAAAAACACCTGTGTTCTATGACCAAAAGAGTTGTGAAATGATGTTCAAACATCTACCATGCTTTGAATTAGCTTCCCTCCCCCCCCCCAACTAAAGCCTCTCTTTTCTATGCAGTTGAATGGCATAAAATACAAAATCCTATTCCTGTGCCACCTCATCATGTGGAGGTGATCCTGGGTTCTCAGTAGTTGTAGCCAATTCACAAGTTCTGGATGGTCCTTCTGAACTGAACTTTGAGTATGGGTCCAGTCACAAACTGACATAACCATTATCTGGACTTACAGTCTAGGTCAGTTGGGTCAAAGGCAAATAGAAAGGATCCTTATGGTAGCATATTGACTTAGAAAACCACAAATTAACATTATCTATGTTGTATTTTTATTTGCTCTGCCAAATATTTCCCAGTTTACATTTTAATCTGGTTCTGGCCACAGCAATCAGAGTTTTGCAGGAGTTGAGTTTGACCCCTATGGTGTATATAGGCAAGTCACTGCTGTAAAAGTAGCAGGAAATAAGTTGCTCTGATAACAAGCAAAGAAAAAACCACCAAAAAGTAAAGCCTACCTTAGATTTGGTCTATATTCATGAAGTTCATTAATCTCCTTCAATTACTTTTCAGTTCTCTCTCTCTCTCTCTCTCTCTCTGTCTCTCTCTCTCTCTCTCTCTCATAATAGTAATAGTATCTAGCATTTAAATATTGCCTTAAGATGTACAAAATGTTTTACAAATATTATTTCATTAATCCTCACAATTGCCCTGTTATGATGTGCTATTATTCCCATTTTATAGATGAAGAAATTGAGGTAGGAAGAGGTTAAGTTGCCTCTGAACTTGCCCTGCATGACACAGCTAGTAAGTGCCAAACTAGATTTGAACCCAGGTCTTTCCAATTCCAGCTCTACCCGCTGTACCACCTAGTTGCCTAGATTGACAGACTGTTTTGGAGGGATAGGGCAGACCTATAATTTAGATCATTGTAAGGAAATTCCTTCTTTAGAAACACCCTTCATGAGGTGCAAATTAATAAATCATTTGTAACTTTCATTACTAAATTGTTGCTTGAGCATGCCCATGATCACAAAGCCGGCATCTATGGAACTTAACTTAAATTTTCCTGACTCCCAGAGCAGCCCTCTCTCTGTACACCATGTTGTCTCTCATTCTATTGGCTGTAAAATCTCATCTCTTTTATTAGGATTTTCAAGCAGTCAATTGCCTAATACTTATTTGGTGTTGTAAGAAAAATCACCAGCAACTATCTGTTAAGCCTTCACTTTGTGCATCTACTAAGCAAAGCTCTGGGAATATCATTCCCAAGAATGAAACATTCCTTTCTAACAATGTGCTTACATTTAAAATGAAGTAAATAACATACTTATAAAATATGTAAAAATAAAGAAGTACAAACATACACATAGTAGTTAAATATAAGATAGTTTGGCGGGGGGGAACTAGGAATTGAGGGATTCAAGAAAGTCTGTTAGATATGGTCCATACTTTCACAGAACCTAATACATACTTAGCTGGAGAAAAAAGATGAATAAATGTTAAACAGTTAGCAAATAATATAAGAAAGCGTGTGTGTAGGTGCTAAATTGGATTGTGTAGACACTGTGAGCATCGTATCAGAAGACTGCAAAATCAGCAAGGCCCAGAATAACCAGGGAATACTTCTAAGGACACCCTTTTTACCTCTTTGTATAGGAACATGCCTTTTGTGGGAATATAGTGATATGTGTATGGATATGATAGATTTTTAGCAAGTATTTGTAGAATTGATTTAACAATCCAGATACATTTATAAAGAAATGAATTTTCTTGAGCTTTAACTTTCTGTCTCTCTCTTTTTTTCCTCTTAGGTCTTTCTGCTGCCAAATTGTTGGCCGAATATGAAATTGATGTTGTGGTTTTAGAAGCACGGAACCGAGTCGGAGGAAGACTTACACTGTGAGGGTGAGAGTTTCGTAATGTTTCATTTGACGTATCTGACACACACTGTAAGTACAAATGAAATTCAGAGGGCTAAGAAGATAATTGAGATTCAGAGGATTAAGAAGACCTGGAGAAATCAAGTTCATTTACTTGTCTGTGGTACCATGGAACCTTAGCCTCTCCATCAGTTTAAGAAGGATTGCACAGGTTCTGTCCATAACCCAATAACATATATAATCCTTTTCTAATCAGGAGACTTTTAAATCCCTCCTGTAAGGATTCCCAGTTCCCCTTCATTTGCTTTTAGATATTTTATTGCCTACTGTCTCTACTTCTCATTGTGTTAAATGACCTTTTTTTTTAAAATTAATATACATTAAGCTGAATTTTCCTTTACCAGTAGTGATAGGTACTGAAATACAGGATAGCATGAGTAGAAAGAGCACTAGATTGAGGTCAGTGGGATGGGATCACAGGTTTTCTACTAATAAGCTGCAAGACCTTTGGATAAAGCATGCCCTCAACTTTCCTTCTGACCGCAGAAGGATTTGGAGTAGTTGGTCCAGAAGGTGCTAACATTCTCCAGTGTTAATGAGAGATACCTAATAGTGTTAGAAAGCCTGGATCATTGATTTCTTCTTTATGGTTCTCAATAGATATGTACGTTCACATAAAAGACTTTAAGTTAAAGAACCAGATTCTTTATTTCAGGCAGTATTTATATGTCAGTATTATTTCCCCCATACATATTCACTGCCTTAGGTTAGTGTCATAGGTTTCCATGCTTATATCATTTCTGTGTATTAAGGGTTCTTAACCCAGGGTCCATGGAGGGATTTCGGGGGTTTATGAACTTGGACAGGAAAAAAAAATGACATCTTTTTTCATTAATCTCTAACTAAAATTTAGCATTTTCTTCACTATTTAAAAACATTTTTTTCTGAGAAGAGATCCATGACACAAAATAGGTTAAGAACCCCCTGATGTATATCATTGTTGCATAAGAACATGGTTCCATTTATAGCAAAGTGTTCCAATTTTCAAATCAGCAAATTTGCTAAGTTCTCATGAACTTATTCATTTTCAGTTGTGTGAGAGAAAGGGAGACAGAAAATTAGGATCTACAGAATAGATTATTTAAAATATTAGTAGATTAACGTTAATATGAATAGACTTGTTTGTAACAGGATCAAATATGCAAGAAAGTTATTATGAAATTTGCCTTTGATTAGGCTAATTAATCCCATTAAAATACTACTAATAATTCAACTAAAATAGCAAAATTTGATGGGGTTTGAGAGGACCATCACCTAGAAGCTGCACAAAATATTCCCAAGGACTGAATTTATTTGTGTGAGGAGATGGTCATAGGTTCCCAAAGTGGGTGGTAACTGCCCCTGGGTTGGGGCGCTGGAATGATTGGGGGTTGGGGGTTGATAGTAGCCTTCGGTGTAATTGGAGAGTTTTGAATAAAAATAAGGGTTAATCTAACCAAACCCCAGAGGGGAACTGAGTAATTTTTTTTAATGGGGTGGTAGGCCAAAAAAGTTTGGGAACCTCTGGACTCTAAGCAGAAAGCTAATAAGCTGTGTCTCTCTCCTCCATAGATTCCCATTTATTATCCACTCCAAACCAGTTTAACATCACACAACCTCATCCATTCTTCTCCTTTCCTCCAGGCTCTTATAATGAAATAGCTGTTTACCTCACCAAGGTCAATCCCTCAACATGTGTGCATGATCCCATCCCTCCCGTTTTTTTCCAGCAGATTTCCCACACTATCATCCCATCATTCCCTTTAATTTTCAGTCTCATCCTAGAGGCAGCTCATGAAAAACTTGTTAATTATGGAATGAAAGTTCCAGAGAACATATTAGAAAGGGCAGGGAGTTCAGGGATTAGGTTTGAGATGGATGGGGCTGAGAGAAAGGGTAGTGAGGGTTCAGGACAGAGCCTTGGGATATACCTGCATCTAGAAGGCATATTGTAGTTATGATCCCACAAAAGAGACTAAGAAAGAGCAGTCAGGTAGATAGGAGTAGGGGACACACACACACACACACACACACACACACACACACACACACACACAGAGGTATCACTGAAATCCAGAGATAATAGACAATTCAATTTCATGAACATTTATTAAGTGCCTAACATGTATTAGGCACTGTGCTTAACATTGGGGATTCAAAAAGAGACAAAAGACAGTCCCTGCCTTCAAGGAGATTAAAATCTAATGGAGGAGATAACATGCAAAGAAATATATACAAAACAAGCTATTTACAAGATATATAGGAAATAATTAACAGAGGGAAGGCGTGGAGTTAAAATGGGGAGGGGAGTGTTGGGAGAAAGCTTCCTGTAGGATGTATAATTTTAGTTGGAACTAAAGAAAACCAGGGGAAGCTAGGTGGCACAGTGGATAGAGTGCTGGGCCTGGAGTCAGCAAGACTTCTGTTCATGAGTTCAAATCCCAGTTACTTACTAACTGTGTGACCCTGGGCACATCACTTAACCCTGTTTGCCTCAGTTTTCTTATTTTCAGAATGAACTGGAGAAGGAAATGGCACTCCAGTACCTTTGCCAAGGAAAACCCCAAGAGTGGTCATGAAGAGTTATTCAAGAATGAAAAATGACTAAAACAAAAATTCAAGGAAACCAGGGGAGGTCAGTAGTTGGAGCAAAGGAGGGAGAACATTCCAGATATGAGGGACAGCTAGAGAAAAAGATCAGAGTCTGTCTCTTGTGCTTTTGCACACACTGTCTCCTATGCATGGAATGCCCTCTCTCCTCACCTCTCCCAGTTGGGATTCCTGGTTTCCTTTAAGTGCCACCTTTACTCTTGTCTTTATTGATCGCCCTGGTGCTGGTGTCTCTTGTCCCAATTACCTTGTATTGGTTTTGTACTTATTTTTATTTATTTATATATATATATATATATATATATATATACACACACACACACACACACACACACACACACACACACACACAGTGTATACACGTGCGCACACACACACACACACACACACACACACACACGTATCTCTCCCCATCAGGGTAGAAATTCCCTGTGTTAATATTCCTGGCTCCTGGCATAGTGTTTGGCACACAGTGATAGGGACTGGACCTGTGATTTTATTAGTATGGGGACCTTTCAAATGAGAAGACTCTACCAATTGATGGAGTCACATCCTACAGTGTGCTGCCAGATTAATCATTTAAAAGCACATCTCATATCATGTTGCCCCATTTCTAAAAAAACCTTCAATGACTTCCATTGCCTACTGAATAAATTATAAACTGTTTAGCCTAACATTCAAGCTTCCCCACAGCTAAGCCCCAACTACTATTTCTAAGCTTATCTCTTCCTTCAGACACTTCATGTTGCAGCCAAGCTGGACTATTTGCTGTTCTGTGACCACTTAACGTGACCTAGAGTTTCTTGCTTTTACTCATGCTATTCCTATTGGCCAATATTATTCCCCCAACAATATTACAAGCATTATTATCCTCATTTTATAGATGAGATAATGGAGGTTCAGAGAGTAAGTGGCTTACCAATCATCACATCTCTGAGTATCAGAGAGAGCATTTGAACCCAGGTCTTCCTGATTCCAGGTCCCATTACTTCATGGTGAGGGCACAAAATCAATGAGGAAATCCTTTGTAATGACTGAGATTATTCTTTTAAAAAAGTGTTTAATGAAAATCTTTCATTCCATCTTTTTTTTTTAGAATGACTTCGTTGATTATGTTGATATTGGTGGAGCTTATATAGGACCTACTCAAAATAGAATCCTACGATTATCTAAGGAGCTGGGTATAGAGACTTATAAAGTGAATGTGAAGGAATGCCTAATTCATCATGTAAAGGTAAGCCTGTGTTTTTTTAAAGAAATAAATTATTCTCATTAGTTATTTGGCTTGGAAAAGTATTTTGTTTTTAAAGTTGTTTTTACGTTGCATAAAATTATTGATTCCCTAGTTTATTCTCCTTTGAGCTGCTGTTCATCTTTCTTCAAAAACACCAGCTGTTCCACCTTTGACTTTTCAGGATCTATCAATAGCACCAAGCAGTTCAGTGCTCCACAGCCTTTATCCCTCTTGGTTCCCTTTATGTGCTTCTGTTTGGATTTGGTTTTTATCCTTCTGAAGTAAGAAGCTGAATTAATCATTTTGTTTTATCCTTATCTCTTACTTTTGGTTATAAGAATTTGAAGGTAAAAGATTCCCCTGCCCTTTGTTCCCCAGCTTTTCTTTATTTCTTTTTTTTTTTGTGAGGCAGTAGGGTGGAGTGACTTGCCCAGGGTCACACAGCTAGTAAGTGTCAAGTTTCTGAGGCCAGATTTGAACTCAGGTCTTCCTGAATCCAGGGTCGGTGCTGTATTCACTGTGCCATCTAGCTGTCCCCAGCCCCCAGCTTTTCTGCTTGCTTTGTTGTTAACTTTTTGCTGATGAACATGGGGGTAAAGCACACCATGGAAGCTCAGTAAAAATGGCACCTTTACCTCCAAGAACTGACCAGGAAGCCTCTTTATCATTTGCTATTTTTTAATGGAAGATCAGTTCTTCAAAACTTCAGTCATGTGAATTCAGTAACATGGAAAAACAGAGGTAGAATGGTGTGCCAGTTTCATTGAGTATGGTTTATATTTAAGTGAAGAATTTGAAACATCTTTGTCTTGGACCAGGCCACAACTGCCTGAAATCACAGATGCTTGGCCCCTTTGTGCTGTTTCCTACTGCTTAGGCAAGAAGCTATTTAAATTTGAGCTGTTTGTATATTAGCAAGAAACCACAGTTGTAGCCAGTGTTAATCTTCCTCCCTGAGAGATAAATGTATAATACTTGAGGTCTGGAAATAGGCCTGGAGAAATAAATTTAGTTTGACAGTGTAGTCCTAGTCCTACAACAGGTCTAGAGAGCACAGATCACCAACTGTTCAAGAATGGGGGCCGAGTCTTTACTAATTCACCTTAACACTTTTAAATGTTGATAATAGTTTCCCCTCTCAAAAAGTCACTGCAGAATGTGTTATATGGACTGAAAGTCCAAAGACCTGACATTTTTTACTCCAAGCTCTGGCACAGTTAGCTCTGAGACAGGGGCAAGTCTCTGTGCCTCAGTTTCCTCATCTGTGAAAGGGAGAGGCAAATGGAAGTAGCTGGTCCTTTTTAGCCTTTAAAAGTTCTTTTGCTGTACTGAAGAGATATGAGAAAACACCGTTTATTGCTCTTTTGTTGAGATGGGAGGAGGAGGGACTAGAGATATGGAATATTGTATAGTGCATTGGATTATTTTATGATGTACTGATGAACTTTGCTAGATTTTTTTCTTCCTACTTTAAAGAAAACACATTCTTTGTTAAAAGAGGTGGATCTCAGGGAAGGGAGAAGGGGAGAGATATAGAGGGAAATGTAGGTGATATAAAAATAAAAGATATCCATAAAATTTAATTTTTTAAAAAATTTCATGTTCTGTATACAGTCATCTGGTGTTCAAGGGACTGAAACACAACTGTATTCTAGATTAGCTAATATTCGGATGCAGAAAACATTGTTTTAAAAACTTTTATATGTTGGAGACAGTTCTGGGAATGTGTTGTGAAAAGAAAACCTTACGTTTTTTAGAGAAACTTAAGTGTTCAACTTGAAGTGAGATATGAAAAGTCCGTGAAAAGCAAGATGGAGAGGGAATTCTTTTTCACCTCTTCTCTCCTGTGTAGTATGCTTCCTTGGCCCCTCATCATGAATCTCCCTCCCCTTTCTGAACGCCTTGGATGGCTGCAGAGAGTATGTATCCAGTATGAACCCGGATCAAGTATGCATTTTTATCCGACTTATTTCATGCCATTACTAAGTTGACATTCAGTCAGTCTTCATGCGTATCACCACAACCATAGAGAATGCATTGCCTTTAGTTGATGAAAGTATAATTAAACAAAACTATACCGTTCTACTTCTCTCGTTATTTAGCCATTTTAAGACTTGAAAGGAGATAGCTCTTGAAGATTTGTTCCTATAATTATATCTCAAATGTGGTACAGATGCTGTCTTTCACATTTAGGATTGTGGGACATCTTAATGTATCCTAAGAGAATTGCATAATTATATCTGTTTCTGTTGGATCAGAATTCATTGGGTCCTTAGCAATGTCTTGTACTTTAGTTACTGAATAAATGTTGAATTGGATTAAATAAATTTTAATTAAATATTTATTGTATGCACAGCATAGTGCAGGGGAGATTAAAAAAATTAGTTTGGATAAAGACATAGTCCTTCCCCTGTTGGAGCTAGGGGGGAAGGAAGTAAGATAGAAATACAGATAACTATACTAAAGAATATTATCTGATAAGTGCATTTGAGAATTGTAAAGTGCTCAGGCCAAGAGGAAGGATGTTCTTGATCGTCAGGGAAGGCCACAAACTAGCACTTGATTCAAGCATTTAATCAAGAATTAATTAAAGGAAAGAATTAAAGGAAGATTAGGCAAAGAGGGAAGAGGATAATCTTCGAGGCAGAAGGAAGGATGTGAACAAAACGTAGAGTGTTGAGGGAACAGTTGGATGGATCACTTTGGCGGAAGTATAGTCTCACACCCTATGACAGACTTATCTTCTTTTTTGATTATATTTGTCTTTGATGACACATCCTCTACATCATTATAAAGAAATCAAACATTAGTGGAACAAATTAATATAATCAAAAAGTAAGGCAGTATCATTACAGGCTATACCAGAAAAATAGGCAGAAGGGTGTCATGAATGTACTCAACCATTCCAGCACAGTAACAATTAAAGAAATACTCCTACAAGCAAAAGAAAAAAGTTAATTAAAAAAACAAAGGCATAATAGCTGATATTAATATAATGTTTCAGGGTTTATAAAGAAATCATTGGACAGTAAAGAGTATTAATAAAACTTTTTTCTTCCAGACTTCACTTTGCCCTTAAGAGCACATGCTGTTTTTTCATGCTTTTACCTCTTTTGAGAGTTCAGTTGCAGTCTAGATACAGCTATCCAGATAATTCACAGAGGAATCTGTGTTTCTGAATTTAATAGTCTGTGAGGAGGGAGGGCACATACATAAAAATTTTATATTTAATATGTATTACTCTTGCAGAATCCTATCCCATAGATAAGAATTCATCCATTTACAACACTGATATGAACTTGAATTCCAAAGAATGAGACTGATATGAACTTGAATTCCAAAGAATGAGAAAAGGGCTTAACTTATAAATTGAGCTTTGATACAATTCTATTCCATTAAAATTTTCAAATCACTAAATTAACATTTAATACAGTTGTGCTTATAAAAGATATCAGAACTTAAATATTACTTTCATACAAACAAGTTTAAAAAGCATAATGACTTTAGACATCCCTTAGTAAAAAAATTATTCATACAGACATACATAATTTATAAATATAGCAGTTAAAACATTTCAGATTTGCCAGCCATCAGAAGATGACTGTAGGAAGATAAATTGACTTAATTTTTTAAATCCAATTTTATAGTCTTTTAAATGCCAAATTTAAAGAATCTCTGACTCTAATTCCAATTCTTTAGATATAGTGAAGTCATCATAACTGCTAACTTTCATCTTTCGTCTCCCTTTACCCTTTACCCTTCATCTACTCAGTCAGAAGCCTCATAGTTTTTCCCTAAGACTCTTTGTACTTGGCAGCTTACTAGATAGAGAAAGGAATAATGAATTGTAAACCAATTAATTCCTAAGTCACTGGTAAACATTCATTTTAATAGTAGGCTCATACACACACAAACAAATAAAAGTAGATTCAAACTCTTAGTCTGCAGCATAAAAACTTTTTAAAATGCTTTTTTCTCTTCAGTACTGTGGCAGATTACACAGACACTGTATTAAGACAAGACCAAATTAAGTTCATTTTCTAGGATCAAGGCCAGGATTTCCTAATTTTTCCTGGTTAATATTCTACTTCTAGTGCTCAAGAGATGTCTGGAAATTTCCTAAGTAGGCATTTGGAAGAAACATGGATTTTGATGTCCAAGGATCTGGTTTCATATCCTGAGTCTGCTGCTTTCTACCAATCTGACCTTGACTATTTACTTAATGGCTATAGAGCCTCACTTTCCTTACATGAAAATTGAACGAGTTGGACTAGATTACCTCAAAAAGACCTCTTAACTCAAAATCTATTATCCAGTCCATGATCTACCCACTTCCTATCCTATCAACACCATTCTGTCTTCCATTTCATTAGTGAAAGTCCAGTTCATAGCACCCAGGTAATGGGGAAGAAGCACTATTTAAGCTCTGACAAAGTGAACATTGTAATGCACCCCTCTCACCTTCAGGATCTACTCAAAATCATTGCACTTACCCTGAGCCCAGAATTGACACTACAGGGAGTTATGTGTTCTCATTTCCATTTTTATTTATCAGTATCTGCGAGGATACACAGCTGCTTTGTCCTAATAAAGGTGAGTTGTGGCTGTCTTTGGTTTTCCAATATGTGCCAGTTCAGTTCCCCAGGGGTTATGGTTTCCAGGCTTGTGTAGTCACATGCAACTTTATGACATCATACACAGACAGAGAGACTATGTTTTTTGGCTCTCCCATTTCCATACTTTAAAAAAATATATTTACTTTGTTCTGAACTTAACAAATAAAACAAGCATTTCTGTAACATAGTAGAATAAGAAAAAAATGATTACGCATGAAACTGCAAATCTGTTACGTACTACTTGCTATTCCTTCTAAATATATAATAAATTACATAGCTTTCAATTCTGATATTTCCATTTACATGGTTATAGTCATTATGTGCATTATTTTACTGGTGCTGTTTATGATACTGCATAAAGCATTTATTTCATCTTATTTTATT